CCTTCTGCCTCAGCCTCCTTTCAAAGCCCTGAGATGACAGGCATGAACCACCACACCAGGCCCTGATATTCTTAATTGGGTTCTCCCACGGCCTCAGAGCAGTGATCCATTCCTCAATTGGCTTTTCAAAGTCCCAGTCCGAAGTCCCACCTTTTCAGTCCTGATCCCAACCCTGCTCACATCATCCCGAGGACGCTCTGCCCATGGACGTTTCTCATGGCCTCAGACACCTTGCCTGGGACATAAACCTAGGGTTTCTGCGACTTGGCCTCCCCCTGCCCACTGGACATTTTCTTGTCTCCTACTGTTTATTATGGGCCAGCCTCCAGCCTTGATGGTTTTTTTTTTCCTAAGAAAAGGTTTAGGGAGAAATGCCACAGCATGGTTATGCCCCCATAAAGCCAATCCCAGTGGATCCTAATATTACTAAGCATGCTCAGATAACACTGCAAAAATGCCCTTCACAAGAGGGTCTCTTCTTGGTCATGCCCTCCACAAGACTCTCACCTCAGAGGGTCTTGGTCTGTTCATTCATTCATTCATTCACTCACTCAAACTCCGATCAATTTGTAGATACACCAAAGCAGGAAAAAACATGCCCTGCCCACAGTGGAGCTCAAAAGCTACTGAAAGAAGACAATGAACAAAATTAACATTAAAAAATGTAGAATATCAGGCCAGGCATGGTGGCTCACGCCTGTAATCCCAACACTTTGGGAGGCCGAGGCAGGCAGATCACTTGAGGTCAGGAGTTCAATACCAGCCCGGTCAGCATGATAAAACCCCTTCTCTACTAAAAATACAAAAATTAGCCTGGCATGGTGGCAGGAGCCTGTAGTCCCAGCTACTTGGGAGGTTGAGGCAGGTGAATCGCTTGAACCCAGGAGCAGAGGTTGCAGTGGGCCAAAGTCATGCCACTGCACTCCAGTGACAGAGCAAGGCTTCATCTAAAAAAAAAAAAAAAAAAAAGGAATATTAGAAGATGAGTCATTCTCCAAAACCTAAAATGCAATAAAATAAATAAATGGGGAAAAAAAAAAAAGAAGAAGATGAGTCATTCTTTGGAGAATAACTAAGCAGGGGCTGGGGAAAGGGAGTGCTGGAGGCGTGAATGTGCAGTTACTTATATACTGAATTTGCTGACCTCACTCCCATCACAGGGATTTCCCACATGATCTTCCCTCTGCCTGCAGTGTTTCCCCATCCACCGCTGCAATGATTTTCTATTTTTTAATTTTTCAGTGTACATAATAGGTATATTTAGGAATATATATTGTGGGGGTACATGAGATGTTTTGATATAGGCATGCAATGTGTAATGATCACATCATGGAGAATGGGGTCCTGCAGTGATTTTAAAAATTTGCAAATTCTCTGACACTCTTCTTATTAAGACATGGAATCTATGACTGCTTTTTTTTTTTGAGACAGAATCTCACTCTGTCACCCAGGCTGGAGTGCAGTGGAGCAATCTTGGCTCACTGCAACCTCCACCTCCCGGGTTCAAGCGATCCTCCTCGTGCCTCAGCCTCTCGAGTATCTGGGACTACAGGCACCCACCACCACGCCCAGCTAATTTTTGTATTTTTAGTAGACACAAAGTTTCACTATGTTACCCAGGCTGGTCTCGAACTCCTGACCTCAAGTGACCTGCCCACCTCAGCCTCTGAAAGTGCTGAGATTACAGGTGTGAGCCACTGTGACCACCCTGCTTTCATTTAAATGTATCATTTGTAAGTCATGTGGCCCACCAAGCTTCACTCAGAGGTGATGTCTCACTGGTGAGACCAGGAAGTTGGCGAGTGTCGCACTCTGTCTGACCAGCAGCCCCTGGCCTCCTGCCACTGTGGAGTACCTCATCTGTATCCAAGGCCCCGACCATGCTCTTGTCACCTCCGACCGGGTGGCTGCCAGCAATATTGTCCAGATGAAGGACAATCATGACAAGATGTTTAAGATGAGTGAGAAAATATTACTCCTGTGTAATATTTTCACAGTTTGCAGAATATATTCAGAAAAAAGTGCTACTTTATAAGATGCGAAATGGGTATGAACTGTCTCCCACAGCAGCAACTAACTTCACACACACAAACCTGGCTGTCCTTGGAGTCGGACCCCATATCATGTGAACCTCCTCCTGGCTGGCTATGATGAGCATGAAGGGCCAGCGTTCTACTACGTGGACTAGCTGGCAGCCTTGGTCAAGGCTCCTTTAGCAACCCACGGCTGTAGTGCTCCTTTATTTTTTCTACTCTTTTCAGGTGCACTTTTTTTTTTTTTTTTTTTGAGACGGAGTCTTGCTCGGTTGCCAGGCTGGAGTGCAGTGGCATGATCTCGGCTCACTGTAACCTTCACCTCCTGGGTTCAAGTGATTCTCCTGCCTCAGCTTCCCCAGTAGCTGGGATTACAGGCGTGTGCCACCATGCCTGACTACTTTTTGCATTTTGAGTAGAGACGGGGTTTCACCATGTTGGCTAGGATGGTCTCGATCTCCTGACCTTGTGATCTGCCCACCTCAGCCTCCCAAGGTGCTGAGATTACAGACGTGAGCCACCACGCGCCCCCCCCCCCCCCCCCCCCCCCGCCAAAGGTGCACTCTTGATAAATGGTTAATTCAGAATAAAGGTGACTATGGATATATTTGAAAAAAAAAAAAAAAAAATGTATGGTTTGTTTAGAAAGGTTGGAAACAGGCCGGGTGTGGTGGCTCACACCTGTAATCCCAACACTTTGGGAGGCTGAGGTAAGCGGATCACAAGGTCAGGAGTTTGAGACCAGCCTCACCAACGTGGTAAAACACTGTCTCTACTAAAAATACACACACACACACACAAAATTAGCTGGGGATGGTGGCGTGTGCCTGTAATCCCAGCTACTCAGGAGGCTGAAGCAGGAGAATCACTTGAACCTGGGAGGCGTATGTTGCAGTGAGCCGAGATCACACCACTGCATTCCAGCCTGGGTGACAGAGACTCTGTCTCCAAAAAAAAAGAAAGGTTACAAACAGATATCTACCATGTCTGTGCCATACAGAAGTTACTAGAAATCCATCTTACCCCTCCGTTTTGTAAATGCAGATATCAAACAACCCCAGTCATATATTCCCCGTCATTTTACTATGAAACGTTTCTAACATACAGCGAAGTTGAAAAGTTTTACAGTGGACACCCGCTTATCTACTACTTAGGTTCTGCCATGAGCATTTTGCTACAGTTACATTATCTCACACCTTCCTATTACCCTATTTGTCTATCAACCCAACTCATCTCTGGATACATTTCAACATACATTGCAGACATTGGTACATTGCTCCCTAAATATTTCAGTGTACATACTTTTTTTTTTTTTTAAAGACAGGGTGTAGTTCTATAGCTCAGCCTGGAGTGCAGTTGCCTAATCTTAAGCTCAGTACAATGCAGCCCTAACTCCTGGGCTCAAGTAAACCTCTCACCTCAGCATGCCCCGCCTCGACCCCAAGTAGCTGGGACTACACATCATGTGCCCCCAAACCTATTTATTTACTAATTTATTTTTGTAGAGATGGGGTCTTGCTGTGTTGCCCAGGGTGGTCCTTAAGTGATCCTCCTGCCTCAGCCTCCCAAAGAAGTGGGATTACAGGCATTATCTTTAACTGGAGTTCAATATTTGCTTTTGAGGTAAACTTTACATACAATGAAATTCACACACTTCACTAAGTTTGATAAGTGCATACACCTGTGTAACCCAAACCTCTCCCCAGCATGGCAACTAGTTTTTTAAACGTGGCCTCTAAAGTGTCAGAGACAGACAAAGAGAGAGAAAGAGAGAGAGAGAGAGAGAAAACTTAATTTTTTTTTTTTAGGTGGAGTCTCATTCTGTCACCTAGGCTGGAGTGCAGTGGTGCAATCTCAGCTCACCGCAACCTCTGCCTCCTGAGTTCAAGAGATTCTCCTGCCTCAGCCTCCTGAGTAGCTGGGATTACAGGCACCCACCACCATGCCCAGCTAATTTTTGTATTTTTAGTAGAGACAAGGTTTTACCATGTTGGCCAGGCTGGTCTTGAACTCCTGACCTCAAGTAATCTGCCCACTTCAGCCTCGCAAAGTACTGGGATTACAGGCGTGAGCCACCCTGCCCAGTATTTGTTTTTGTTTTGTATTTTTAGTAGAAACGGGGTTTCACCATGTTGGCCAGGCTGGTCTCGAACTCCTGACCTCAGGTGATCCACCAGCCTCGGCCTTTCAAAGTGCTGGGATTATAGGTGTGAGCCACCATGCCTGGCCTCCACCTTTAAAATCTATCCAGAATTCAACTGCTTCTCCCTTTTGACTGAGGCAGAAGAATCGCTTCAACCTGGGAGGCGGAGGTTGCAGTAAGCTGAGATTGAGCCACTGCACTCCAGCCTGGGTGACAGAGCGAGACTTCCTCTCAAAAAAAAAAAAAAAAAAAAAAAAAAAAAAAAAAATCAGCCAGGCATGGTGGGAGCCTGTAATCCCAGCTACTCAGAAGGCTGAGGCAGGAGACTCGCTTGAACCTGGGAAGTGGAAATTGAAGTGAGCCAAGATTGCGCCACTGCACTCCAGCCCGGGCAACATGAGTGACACTGTCTCAAAATAAAACAAGATAAAGTTGGAGATGGCAGGATTTGCAGGTTAACTGTGGGTGGAAGGGAAAGACAGAAGCCAAAGGCAACTCTAATGGCAAAGGACAGAGCTGAAGTAAGTTGGGAGGGCCATGCTTAGGGGGAAAGACTGGCTCCATTTAGGACCTATGGAATTGGAGATGTCTTTCAAGCCCTTGGGTAGAAATGGTGATGAGGTAGGAGCCCAAGATTCCATGGCCAGCTCTAGGTTACAGATAGAAATTTGGGGACCATCAGAATGGAGATGGGGTTTAGAGTCATGAAAATAGGCAGGAGAATCTACAGGTGGGTATAGATGAGAAGTCAGCACCGTGGCTCTGGGTCATGGCAAAGTTGACACGCTGGGCCAGTGACGAGGCCCAACCAGAGGGGTGCACGGAAGTTCTGGAAGTAAGAGAGAAAGTGCTTCAAGGAGGGAGGGGTGAGCTGCAGTAGATACTACTGCTGCTCAAGCTGGTGTGGGCTGCGGACTGACCATCATCCAACACTCCGATGACCCTAGTAGCTTCTTCGCCAGAGGACAGTCCTTTGGTCCCATTTGAGCCAGGAATCCTAAGTGAAGTCAGATAAGGTGAGTCCCAGTCTTGCCCGAAGTCTTGCCTGAAACCTCTCCCCCAAGGAGGATAAAACCAGAAGGGAGATCTTGTTTCCGTGGTCAAGAAAGAGAGTAGGGATGGGGGAGGACAGAGCCACAGGGCAGCAGAGGGCAGGGGGCATTTCCTTAAATTGGTACGACCCCTTGGCCTTTCCAAAACAAACCCTTTCTCACAGATAATCAGTAACAACAACAACAAAAAAAGACCTCACTGGGTAAAATAGAATCTAGAATCTGTACAATTCAAAGTCGTCTGGCATCCAGGGAAGCTCCTTCCCTTTGCAGCAGCCTCCCTGGGGATCTGGGGGGTGACCTGGCTGGAGGGCACCAAGATCCCGGGTCTTTGGCCTGGTCCAACAGGAACGATAATAGGGCGTCTGCTTCCCTGGAGAAAAGCCGGGAGAGCAGAGACTGGAGTAGGTGCTCGGGCTTAGGATCTGGGGCTGTGGATGGAGTGCTGGGACAGGGGATGAGGAAGGGTGGGCGCCTAACTGGGTCTCGGAGGACTCAGGGGCCCAGTGTCATAGACTCTGGGGAGGGAGGGTCGGGTCGGTCACCTTTTCTGCCGGCTCAGCTCTGCCCTCTGTGCTCTTAGCACCTGGAGCACAGGATCGTCCTGGAACTCGCTGCCATCAGAGTCTGAGGGGGCGGTCGCAGGGAGAAGAATGAGCTCAAGGGGGCCGGCCACTTCACAGGTTGGCCCACCACTAACATCCCGGAGGGCGTGGGCATCACCTTCTGCAGCCTCCAGCAGCCGGGCTGCCTGGGCGAGCAGGGCCTCCGAGGGGGGATGGTGAGCAGCAGGCGGGGGCTGGGCCAGGGCCTCCGGAGACCCAGCCTGGAAGGCTGGCAGCGTGGCCTTGACTGTGGATGTCAGCTCTGCTGCAGTGGGTGGGACCTCGGCCTGTGGGCATGCTCCAAGGGAAGGAGTGGCTTCGGCCTTCCAGGTCACTGACCCTGCTGCGGGTGGCATGGCCTCAGCCCGACGCTGGGATTCTGATGGAGGGGGAGTGACCTTGGTTTGGGGTTGTGTGGTCTTGACTTTCGGAGATCCAGCCTCGGGTGGAAGTGGGGCCTTGAGGTGAGGAGGCGGGTCCTCCAGGCTGTCAGGGAACAGCCGAGCTGCCACTACCTGGCCCAGGACACCCCTGAGCTGAGGGCCAGGCCCCTGGCCAGCTTCAGTGACCGGCTTGGCAGCCTCCTGGGGAAGGGCTCTGCTCCTCCTAGACTTGGGCCCCAGGCTTTTAGGTTGGGCGGAGCTGCTTGGCTCAGGGATGGGAAAGCCTTGGGGGACGGCTGGGGGTGTGAGGGTGGAGGTTGGAGGTGCTGGGGTAGAGACCAGAGGAGCCGGGGTGGAGGCTGGGGATTGGAGGGTGGAGGCCAGAGGCACTAGGGTGGAGGCCAGATGCATGGGAGGAACAGCCCCGAGGGATACCCAAGGCCCAGATTGTGGGGCCCAGAACCCATGGGGGCTAGGGGCCCAAAAGATATGTGGAGAGGACACAGAGGGAAAGGGAGGCCTCTCCACATAGAAGACCTCAGGTGGACCAGGCTGCACCACACTGCTCCACGGTGGGATGTGGTTAGGCTGGTTTCCCAGAGAACCAAGGGTCTCCGCTGGAGCAGGACAGGTCTGTGGACAGATAGGAAGAGAGATCCGAGATGGAGAGACGGCCAAGGGTCCTTCGTTCCCCTCAGACCCAGCCTCTCCTCCAGCTCCCCCCAGGCTCCTCCTTCCCCCGACTCACCAGAGTCTGGAGGGCAGGGGTCCCAGGCAGCACCCAGGCTCCACCACCCTTGCTTCCCCGAGCCTGTTCAAGCTTCCGCCGCTGCCGCCACTGGTACAGAATGTCATCCTCTGGCCGAAGGGGTGCTCGGGAGGAGGCTGGGGCTGGAGCAGGGGTGGGGGTCTGTGCCTGGGCTGGTGCTGGGGATGCTGTAGGGGAAGGGAGGTAGAGAGGAGACGGTGAGGCAGGGGCCAGGGAGATCAGCAGCCCTGTGACAGCCTGCACACATGCCCACCGAATGTGCAGGGGTTACTCAGACAGGCTCTCCAGATACTGTCCAAGCTCCACTCTAGAGTGGGAAGAGGGGAAGGGGTCAAAGTCTGGGGAGTGAGCGCTCCTGGGTTTCTCCACCTGTCATCGTTCAAGTCTTTCTTCATTATGTATATATATATATATATGGTCTTATTCTGTCACCCAGCTCAACCTCCTGGGCTCAGGTGATTCTCCTGCCTTAACCTACTGAGTAGCTGGGACTACAGGCATGCGCCACCACACAGGAGTAATTTTTACGTTTTTTGTAGAGAAAGGGTCTTGCTTTGTTGCCCAAGCTGGTCTCAAACTCCTGGGCTCAAGCCTTCGTTCCACCTGGGCCTCCCAAAGTGCTGGGATTACAGGTGTGAGCCACAGTGCCTGATCTCATTCAACAAATATTTATTGAGCTGTTCTGGACGCTGGAGTTACAGCAGTGAGCAGACGACATACTCCCCGAATCCACCCACTTCACCACCCCCTATAGCCCTTGCCCTGCTCCAGCCCCACTCACTCCACCTGGACTCTCAAGCAGCCTCCCTGGTCTCTCTCCTCTCCTCTGAATCTGTTCCCTACTCTCAGCCAGAGGGAGCCTGTGAATACTTGAGTTGGATCAGGCCCCTCAATGCTTAAGAACCCTCCCGTGGCTGCACCTCTCTCCTGGTGAAAGGCAAAGGCTTTGCCTTTTACACCTGTGGCTCCCTCTGCCTGGAACACTCTTCCTTCATGTATCACATGGTGGATTCTCTCACATCCTCAGATCTTGGGCACCTTCCCGGGCTTCCCTATTCAAAACTGCAACCAGCTGGGCCTAATGAATGGCTCATTCTTGTAATCCCAGTGCTTTGGGGAGCCAAGGCTGGGGGATCGTTTGAGCCCAGGAGTTCCAGATCAGCCTGGGCAACATAGTGAGACCCTATCTCAACAAATAAAAAAATTAAAACAATTAGCTAGGCATAGAGGTGCATACCTGTAGTCCCAGCTACTTGGGAGGCTGAGGTGGGAGGATCGCTTGAGCCCAGGAATTGGACTCTGATGGCACCACTTTTTTTTTGAGATGGACTCTTGCTCTGTCACCCAGGCTGAAGTGCAGTGGCGAGATCTCAGCTCACTGTAACCTCTGCCTCCTGGGTTCAAGTGATTCTCCTGCCTCAGCCTCCCAAATTGCTGGAATTACATTTGCCTGCCACCATGCCCAGCTACTTGTTATTCTTTTAGTAGAGACGGGGTTTCCCCATGTTGGCCAGGCTGGTCTCGAACTCCTGACCTCAGGTGATCCACCTACCTCGGCCTCCCAAAGTGCTGAGATTACAGGCGTGAGCCACTGCACCCGGCCTTATTATCCCTGTTTCACAGCTGGAGAAACAAGGCCCAGAGAGCCCCATAGTCCCACAGATGGTCAGTGGCAGAGCTGGGATTTGCACCCAGGCTTCCCTCAGCCCTTGCTTCCCAGCCCTTACCAGGTGCCCTGGGGCCAGGGCCCTTGCTTGAGTCAGGGATGAAGGTCTCTGAGAAGGGAGAGAGTTCGTAGGAGCTGGTGGGGAATGAGGAAATGCTGGCATCTCTGGGGCTGAGGGAGGAGGAGGAGGAGATGGAGGCTTTGCTGCAAGGAGAAGGCAGGAGTGAGGCAATGGAGGTCTCAAGACCTGGGCCAGGTGGAGCTGCAGTGGGAAGGGTGGGAAGGGTGCTGGTGGCGGGGTGCAGGCACCTGCGTTTGAGCAGCCTGGCAGCTTTGCTCTGTAGGCTCAGCGTCTCCAGGTCCAGCAGGGATGAGTTCCATGTGTTGAGGTTCTGCAGGGTGAGAGGGTCAGAGGCCAGCCCCCACCCAAAGGCTGCTGGGAAAGGGGTTTTAAACAGAGGGCCTGGAGTGCAGATGTACCGCCCTTGGTAACCTCATGTGCCGGCTTAGAATCTGCTCCTCCTCCTCAGGGAGGAGAGACCCAGTTCTCCCCTTTGGATCAACACCTTTTTTTTTTTTTTTTTTTTAATTGAGACGCAGAGTTTTGCTCTTGTTGCCCAGGCTGGACTGCAACAGTGGGATCTCAGCTCACTGCAACCTCTGCCTCCCAGGTTCAAGGGTTTCTCCTGCCTCAGCCTCCCGAGTAGCTGGGATTACAGGCATGCACCACCATACCTGGCTAATTTTGTATTTTTGGTAGAGACAGGGTTTCTCCATGTTGGCCAGGCTGGTCTCAAACTCCCGGCCTCATATGATCCGCCTGCCTTGGCCTCTCAAAGTACTGGGATTACAGGCATGAGACACTGCGCCTGGTGGATCAGTATCTTTCATGGACAAATCACAGTTGGAGTAGGATGGATCCCACCTTCTAGATCAGAGCTGATTCATCAGAGCATTCTGTCTTCTGGTTCACAGTGGTTGGCTCAAGGATGAGTGAATCGCAGTGAGCCCTGGGACTTTGGATGGAGCAATCAGAAAAGCCCTCACTTTCCAGTGGAGTCACTGAGCTAGGACCATGGGTGCCTAGAGACCCGAGGGCCACCCTGGCTACTGTGAGGAGAAAGCCCACCTAGGACTGAGCCCAAGAGAGGAGCACAGAGGTGTGGGTGCCAGGGCTCATGCCTGCAATCCCAGCACTTTAGGAGGCTGAGCCAGGAGAATTGCTTGAGTCCAGGAATTTGAGACCAGCCTGGACAACAAAGTAAGACCCCATCTCTACAAAAAAAACAAAAAATTAGCTGGGCACGGTGGTACATGCCTGTAGTCCCAGATACACAGGAGGTGAAGGCTGCAAAGAATTTAAGGCTGCAGTGAGCCATGATTGTGCCACTGCACTCCAGCCTGGGTGACAGAGTAAGACCTTGTCTAATAATTAAAAAAAAAAAAAAAAAGGCCAGGCGCAGAGGCTCACACCTGTAATCCCAGCACTTTGGGAGGCCAAGGTGGGCAGATTGCCTGAGCTCAGGAGTTTGGGAGCAGCCTATGCAATACAGTAAAACCCCATCTCTACTAAAAAAATACAAAAAGTTAGCCGGGTGTGGTGGCATGCGCCTGTAGTACCAGCTACTGGGGAAGCTGAGGCAGGAGAATTGCTTGAACCCAGGAGGTGGAGGTTGTAGTGAGCCGAGATGGTGCCACTGCACTCCAGCCTGAGTAACAGAGCAAGACTCCGTCTCTAAGTTAAAAAAAAAAAAAGAGCATGGAGCCCAGAGAGAATTGGATCTCTCCCAACGTTATTCAAACACCTGGATCCAGGCATTTCTGGAAACATCTACTTTTGGATTTCTCAATTACATTAGCCAGCAAATCCTCCTTTTCTGTTTTAGCTTCCTTGAAATGGGGATCAGCTCTAATTTTTTTTTTTTTTTTTTTTTGAGGCAGAGTCTCACCCTGTCGCCCGAGCTGGAGCGCAATAGCGCGTTCTCAGCTCACTGCAACCTCCGCCTCCTAGGTTCAAGCGGCCACCGTGCCTGGCTCATTTTCTGTATCTTTAGTAAAGACGGGGTTTCACAATGTTGGCCAGGCTGGTCTTGAACTCCTGACATCATAATTGGCCCGCCTCAGCCTCCCAAAGTGTTTACAGGCATGAGCCACCGTGCCCGGCCTTTTTTTTTTTAGTGGAGGCAGGATCTCACCACGTTGCCCAAGCTGGTCTTGAACTGGCCTCAAGCAATCCTCCCACCTTGGCCTCCCAAAGTGCTGGGATTACAGGTGTGAGCCACTGCTCCTGATCTTCTAATTCTATCCCAGGGCTGGTGCTGTCAGTTCAGGCACACCAGGGAGGGAGTGAATGGTGATGTCACCTGCTTTATTTCCTGAAGGGGAGCCACAGCCTGGGATGCACTGGTCACCTTGACCGCAGTAGGGACAGCTGTATGGGGTCTTCTTTCTGGTTTGTTGGCTCCTGCTGAGAAGCCCCAGTTGAGGTATGAGGGCCAGGAGGAGTGACTGCTGGGGGCACTGACCCGCAAAGGTTTAGGGGTGGGGGCGGTGGATGGCACTGAAGGAGGTACCTGCTGCATTTTGACTGCTGGAGTCTGGAGAGTCAGGCCGCAGCACCACCGCAGCTGTGGTCGGACCTGCAGGCTGGCGCTCCTCTCGGCTGGTGGGCTGAGCCTGGCGGAACCTGTTTATATACCTGTGAACATCAGAGGATACGAGGTGAGTGGAGTGAGGAGAGCCAAATAATAATAATCATTGGGCCAGACACAGTGGCTTATGCACTTTGGGAGGCTGAGGCGGGTGGATCACGAGGTGAAGAGATTGAGACCATCCTGGCCAACATGGTGAAACCCTGTCACTACTAAAAATACAAAAATTAGCTGAGCATGGTGGTACACGCCTGTAGTCCCAGCTCCTTGGGAGGCTGAGGCAGGAAATCGCTTGAACCTGGGAGGCGGAGGTTGCAGTGAGCCGAGATCGGGCCACTGTACTCCAGCCTGGTGACACAGCAAGACTCCATCTTAAAAAAAGAAAAAAATAATAATCTTGGCAGCCACCATTTACCAAGCACCATGGCAAAGCCTGGTAGCTATCCCTTAATATCAGCTTTTCTTTCTTTTACAGTCACATAACTGTTTTTGAAATAGGGTCTTGCTCTGTCACCCAGGCTGGAGGGCAGTTGTGCAATCATAGCTCACTGCAGCCCCCAACTCCTGGGCTCAAGAAATCCTCCCTCCTCAGCCTCCTGAGTAGCTGGGACCACAGGTGTATTCCACCACACTTGGCTAATTTTTGTTTTATTTATTTTTGAGATGGACTTTTGCTCTTGTTGCCCAGGCTAGAATGCAATGGTGCAATTTCGGCTCACTGCAACCTCTGCCTCTGGAGTTCAAGCGATTCTCCTGCCTCAGCCTCCCAAGTAGCTGGGATTACAGGTGTGTAACACCACGCCTGGCTAATTCAGTAGAGATGGAGTTTCACCATGTTGATCAGGCTGGCTTCGAACTCCTGACCTCAGGTGATCCACCCACTTCAGTCTCCCAGGCGTGCGCCACCATGCCTGGCCGAACAGTGGTATTTTTGTATTTTTTGTAGAAACGAGGTCTTGGCATGTTGCCCAGGCTGGTCTGGAAACTCCTGGGTTCAAGTGATCCTCCCACTTGGGCTTCCGAAAGTGCTGGGATTACAGGCATGAGCCACTGTGCCCGCCCAGGAGTAACGTTTAGCTGGGCACACAGCCGCTCTTCTATGGACTATATTTACCAGTACCCTTATAGCCTTGTTGCCACGTGACTAGGCTCTTGACAAACAGGGTATGAAATGTGATTCTGGAAAGCTGATGTGGTTGAAAGCCATTTTGCACCAGGAAGGAAAGGACAGCAACAAGACAGAAGAAACCTGTGTCCCTGACACAACTACCGGGTGCCACATCATCCCTGGTGGCTTCTGCCTGGACTGCAGATGAGGGAAGAATAAATGCTATCTTGTTTCAGCCATAATTAACTTGGGACTCTTTATTACAGCACCTGAACCTGTATTCTACAAATCTAAGTGCTCACCATGTGAGGGGCATTGCTAGAGATCATTACATAGAGTAACTCACTGAAAGCTGGAAACAGGCTGGGCACGGTTGCTCACACCTATAATCCCAATACTTTGGGAGGCCAAGGAGATCAGGAGTTTGAGACCAGCCTGGCCAACATGGTCTCTATTTAAAAAACAAAAAATGAGCTGGGCATGGTGGTGGGGACCTATAATCCCAGCTACTCAGGAGGCTGAGGCAGAAGAATTGCTTGAACCTGGGAGGCAGAGGTTGCAGTGAGCTGAGACCTTGCCATTACACTCCAGCCTTGGCTAACAGAGATTTCATCTCAAAAAAAAAAAAAAAAAAAAAAAAAAAAGAAAGCTCAAAACAGCCCTAGGAGATATATACTATTCATATGCCCGATTTAGGTCAGGTACAGTGGCTCACACCTGTAGTTCCAGCACTTCTGGAGGCTGAGGGGGGTGGATCACCTGAAGCCAGGAGCTCGAGACCAGCCTGGCCAACATGGTGAAACCCCATCTCTACTAAACTACAAAAAAATTAGCCAGGCATGGTGGTGAGTACCTATAATCCCAGCTACACAGGAGGTTGAGGCAGGAGAATCACTTGAACCCAGGAGGAAGAGGTTACAGTGAGCCAAGATCACACCACTGCACTACAGCCTGGACAACAAGAATGAAACTCCGTCCAAAAAAAAAACAAACAAACCAATTTAGAGATAAAGAAACAGAGGCGCCGGGCGCGGTGGCTCACGCCTGTAATCCCAGCACTTTGGGAGGCCGAGGCGGGTGGATCATGAGGTCAAGAGATCGAGACCATCCTGGTCAACATGGTGAAACCCCGTCTCTACTAAAACTACAAAAAATTAGCTGGGCATGGTGGTGCGTGCCTGTAATCCCAGCTACTCAGGAGGCTGAGGCAGGAGAATTGCCTGAACCCAGGAGGCGGAGGTTGCGGTGAGCCGAGATGGCGCCATTGCACTCCAGCCTGGGTAACAAGGGCGAAACTCCGTCTCAGGAAAAAAAAAAAAAAAAAAAAAAAACAGAAACAGAGGCAGGGCATGGTAGGTCCGGCCTGTAATCACAGCACTTTTTGGAGGCCAAGGTGGGAGGATTGCTGGGTGTGGTGATATGCGCCTGTAACCTCAGAGACTGAGGGAGCTGAGGTGGGAGGATGACGTGAGCCCAGAAGCTTGAAGTTATAGTGAGCTGTGATTGCAACACTGACCTCTAGCCTGAGTGACAGAGTGAGACCCTGTCTCTAAATAAATAAATAAAAAGAAATAAATAAACTGAGGCCAAGATCATACAGAGAGTAAGTGACAGAGCTGGGATTTGAACTCAGGCAGTCTAGTTCCAGAGTTCTTAATAACACACACAAAGAAATAAACAAAAAAAAACAACAAAAAAATAAAAATAAAAAAAATAACACACATAAAGTGCCTGGTCCTAAAAAAGCGCTGCATGAAAACAGCTCTGGCCACGATGATTATTGCTGTGTGTCTTCTCCCTCCCTCTAACCCAAACTCTCCTTTTCCCCAGGGCTGCTGGTACTTACTTGGCCACCACGGAGTCCCCACTGTCAATTAGGGTGGGTGATGGGGAGGCCCCCATCTGTCCCTCAGTGGTGCTGGATGGGGAAGGGGTCCCTGAACTGGATGGCCAGGACTCCTCAGACAGCTCAGGGGAGTTGGGACTTGTGGCTGGAGGCTTGGGAGCTTGTGGGAGCCTGGATCTCTGAGACCTGGATGGGCTCAGGGTCTAAGATGGGAGAAGAGCAGAAGAAGAAAAAGTGTGAGGTCTGATGGGTCATCCCTACAGGGAAGCCAAGACACACAAGAATTCTCAGTCCAGAGGGGAGGAAACTCATCCAATAATGATAATGACCTAGAGTGATGGGGGCTCAGAAGGGAATCCAGGTGGTAGAGAGGCAGACAAGGCCAGGGCCATAGGGAGGGGAGAAGGGCCTGTCTCTTAAATCTCTCATCACATGTCTTCCTACCCTCTAGAGGTCATTCTCTTGCTACTGGGCTGGCACTCAGCACTCTTTGAGGGGTGTCCTCACCTTGGGACACGAGGTCTGACTCCGGGATGGCCAGTAGTGGCTTCTACCCAAGGGCGCACCTCCAAAGGGATTCTCTTGAATGGAGAAAACTGGCAGGCTGCAAGAGGAAAGTGGGGTTCAGGCAGCAAGTGGTTTCGCTGCAGCCTTGGGGAGGGGAACACTAGAGGAGGGCAGAACCAGACAATTCCCATAGATTCCTGGAGGAGAGGGACTGTTATTCCCATGAAGCACCGCTGCACGTTCAGGATAGCAACAGTGGAAGCGTGAGTCCTGGGAGACGGCCCTTGGAGGAGTCTTAACAGGGAGCAACTCAGGAACTGGCAGCCGGTGGTTCCCAACCCTGGATGCAGTCTAGGAGGGGCTTTTCTACGTTACAGACGCGCGGTTCCCATTCCAGACCAACAGAATCAGAATATCTGTTAGTGGGGGCTCAGCCTCCGGGTCTTTTCCGCAGCGTCCCAGGTGACTGTGAGGTGGAGCTCAGGTTAAGAACCGCGGCTGGACTCTGTCACCGAGCATTTCCCATAAATTCCTGGGGACACGAAGGCGAAGGGTAGATGGACTACAAGCCCCAGGATCCACTGGGCTCCGCCTCCGAGAGAAAGTTCAAAGACAACGCCCAGGCGTGTTTGGGGGCCATTTCAAAATTTAAAAATTCAGATCTCAAGCTCTCCTTGGACACCTTTAGAGGAAATAATCCCTTGGGGCCCCTTAAAGAGGAACCTAAGACTCTAAGGGATCCCCGGGATGCTGAAGGCTACGGCTGGAACGTCCAAAGGCTGTTGGGAGCTGTAGTTTCAGTGCGTTGGAGCCCTAGCGACTCCAGACCCTACCTGGCCCGCCCCCCAGGCTGTGCTGCTAAGAGGGATCGACCTCACCTGCGGTCCATCCCGCGGCTCCTACTGCACTTCCTCCTGCTCTGCGCAGTCACCAAACAGGCCCCGTGCGCATCTCCGTCGCTTAGCAACGCCCTATCAGCCCGCCCCTCTTAGTGCCCGCGCAGGAAGCGAGCGGCCTCCAAGGCCACCAATGAAAGAGAGAAAATAAAAGTAACCGGAAGGAGGTGTCTCACGATTGGTTGGAACGCCTGCCTGCCCGATAGAGCGCGTTTGATTGGAGAATCTGCGGCGTGTAGTAGTAATTGGCAAGACCGTGCACCAATGGGAAGGATTTGAGGCTGGGCTTGCAGTTAAGAGGTGATCTAAAGTATCTTCACCTAAGAGTCCGGCTTTTTAAGACCTTGTTGCAGAAGTCCTGTCCCGATTCCGGTCTAGTTACCGTTCTTTCAGTTGCAGGGACAATGCGGGGACTCTTCCCCCTCTCTGACCGCCATTCTTCCATCAGTTGGGCCAATCAGTTCATCCCGATTGTCATCTAACCACTTCCTTCTTGCTGCAGGAGCAGCTGGTTGCATCAGTTGCCAGGTCTGGGCTCCTGGCCGAGGTAGCAGGATCAAAATGAGCTATTTCGAGCCCCAGGGCGCGGCCCCGGGGGGCCAGCCTAAACTGTTCATGCTCGCGCCCCCTGGCCGCTGCGCACCTGAGGCTGAGTCAGAGGCACAGATTTAGGCCCGGCCTGCTGGGAGACTGGGCCCAAAGCCCGGCTGAGGATGAGAGTAGGGAGGGCCTGTTCTATGTCCTCCTGACATCCTGGCCAGGCTACCGCATTCTCCAGGAATCTGCTCCTAAGACCTCCATCTGCGTCATCCTCAGAGTTGCCAGGGCGGCGACAGTGGATTAAAGGGACTGGAAACTCTTCCATGGGCCTCTTGGGCCCTGGGCCCCAATGACAGCGCTGTGCTCCCCACACCGGCAGCCCCCCCCACCTCAGCCTTAGTTTCCCCCCTGGAAATTGGGGAATCTTCATGACACCTTCTTGACAGCCTTGCCAGGCATTCAGCAGGCGCTTAATAAATGGCAAAGTCATTGTTTGGGTTTCTAAATAAGGCTTTCCTAATGGCTGAGTCTGGCCACGGTCCCAGTGTCCCTGGGCAGCCCTCCGAGGGGCCGGCACAGGGCTCACTATAAATCGGCGGCTGCGCACGCAGGGGCACTGCAACGCGAGGAGCAGGATGGAGATCCCGGTACCTGTGCAGCCGTCTTGGCTGCGCCGCGCCTCGGCCCCACTGCCCGGACTTTCGGCGCCCGGACGTCTCTTTGACCAGCGCTTCGGCGAGGGGCTGCTGGAGGCCGAACTGGCTGCGCTCTGCCCCACCACGCTCGCCCCCTACTACCTGCGCGCACCCAGCGTGGCTCTGCCGGTCGCCCAGGTGCCAGGCCTGGGGAGGGGCGAACTCGAGCAATGCCGTGGGGGGGGCGTCTGGGTCAGCCTGGGGTGGGGGCGTGTGACAGAATGTTCTTTGGCCTTGGGCAGGGTGGGGAGTCCGGCAGCTCCGAGGGGCTTCCGGAGTTCCTGGGAATCTCGGAGGCCAGCTCACTGCATCGGGTGGGAGGTCCCGGTCGCTCTTAGGTGTATGTGCATCGGGGGGGGTCTCATTAGCTTCCCAGGGAGTGAAAGGCCTGGGTCGCTCTAAGGGGAATTTTGCTGAATCTGAAGGAGGCTGGTGACCCGGGAAATCTGGGTAAAAGGAGGCGTTAAAGGTCGCCTGAGGGGAAGGAATGTTACTAGTCTGGGGAAGAGTTGAGAGACTGTATGCGGTGGTTCCATGTCTCCAGAAGAGAAGGGGAAAGCCCTGAGACTTGAGGAAGGGGTCCTGGCCACTATGAAGTGGGAGAAGGCTACCAGTCGCTGCCGAAGTCCCTTGACCCTAGTGGGAAAGCAGGCAGAGGATTCTGGAGACGGAGGAAGGGGCATCTCGGGGAGTTTGTCGGGGCTGGGGAGAAGGGACCTGAGGCTCTGAAGAGGGAGCTGGGGAATCAGTGCCCTGGGATGCATGGTGATTTCGGATTCCCTGACACCGGGGGAGGGCGGAGGTTCCTGATCTTGCAGGGGAAGGGAGCCTCATCACTGCGGGGGAGAGCGCAATCCCAGATATTACAGGAGGGGGGCTAATCCCCGTTATTCGGGGTGAAGAGGTCCTGGGTGATTCCCAGTAGGAGAGCAGATTGCTAAGCTCGGGAGGCCAGAGTGAGCTGCAGCACGGAACCGATGGGGGTGGGGTTTCCCTGGGTGGGTCCCGCGAGCCTGGCATGGCCTGATGACAGTCCCACCCGCGCTCCCTGCGCGCAGGTGCCGACGGACCCCGGACATTTCTCGGTGCTGCTAGATGTGAAGCACTTCTCGCCGGAGGAAATCGCTGTCAAGGTGGTGGGCGAACACGTGGAGGTGCACGCGCGCCACGAGGAGCGCCCGGTGAGCCGCGGCGGGGGCGGGGCTAGATCGGGCACGCGCGCCGCCGGGCCGGAGGGGCGGGGCCGCTCAAGCCTCCCTCCCCTCCAGGATGAGCACGGATTCGTCTCGCGCGAGTTCCACCGCCGCTACCGCCTGCCGCCTGGCGTGGATCCGGCTGCTGTGACGTCCGCACTGTCCCCCGAGGGCGTCCTGTCCATCCAGGCCGCACCAGCGTCGGCCCAGGCCCCACTACCACCACCAGCCGCCGCCAAGTAGAGGGCGGGGCCACGCCCGCACCCCGGGCTCCCTCTTTTAAAGCTGATCTGACTCCGCCCAGCCAGATGTCCTGATCGCGCCCAGGACTGTCCTCTCAGCCACTCCTGGATTCTGCCCTGACCTCCACCCTAGACACTGCCCTGACCTCCACCCTAGACACTGCCCTGATAACCTAGCCCCTTCCTCTGACACCCTCACTGTCACACCCTCTCCAGCTTTCAGACTTCACACCGACACCTCCCTGGCTTCCAGACCCTACCAGCCCTCCCCTAACCCTCAACCCACTTTCTTGGCATATAGCCCCACTTCAAACCGCTGCTCTACTTCCTTCTGAGTACTCGGCAAAGATATCCGGGTACCACATTTCCATCCCTTCCCTGCTTTGACACCAAATTATTGTGTAGACAGCCCTCCCCCAACCCCAGGACAGTCAGGCATAATCCCTCCACGCCACAAATGTCCCGGACTGCACAGACCTCCCACTCCAGATCATCCGGGCCTGGTTCCCAAGACCCAATCCTTCTGCGGCAACCAGATAATCCACAACTGGCCCCTCCAGCCCATTTTCTGCCATAAAACTCCAGCCAGCCTCACTAGGCTCTGGAACTCTTTTCTGACTGCCCCATCTTGGACACCTATCCCAGGCCAACCAGAACACCCAACCCCAAATTGTACAGACTCTCCTGCCCCAACCTTCCCAGACTCTGCACAGATGTCCTAGGTCCCCTCCCCAACTCTGACTAGACCCCTTACCCCATCCCTTTGTCTTGATCCCCAAGTCTCCAACACGAAAACCCTCCTCTTCTTCAAGACCCAACCGAGCACCCCCTCTGATTCCCCACAGCCTTTCTCCCTGCCACCACTCTGTCACTTTCCCAGGCTCACTCTCCCAATAAATTTGTTGGAGCTCTGCCAACTACTTTGTGTCTGGGCCAGGAAGGATGAACCGGAGACACCAGTGTGGAGTTGGGAGACATTTACTGGGGTGGGGTGAACATCACTGGGTGGGGAACATCACTGTCGCTCATACATCTCCCGTAGGATCTTCATGCTTTCTGAGTAACGAAGCTGGTTCCGATGAGAGGCCTCCTTCCACCTGGGGAGGCAGAGGGACGACTCAGCAGTTGCAAGAGGCCCTAGGAGGCGCAAGCAGGCTGGGGGACACTCACCTCTGGCGGATGCGTTTCCAGCGCTGCATGTTGCGATAGATGAGTGTGGAGGGCGAGGGCTCGGGCTCGGAGGGCTGTGTGGACAGAGAGGCCAGGCTGAGTGGTCAGGTCTGAGCCCCACCACATGTACCCCACAACCTTGAGCCAGCCTGGTGCACTCACCTCGTCATCAGGGGTGCCCTGCAACTCAGGTTGCAGTGGAGATGGGATGCGGGATCTGCAGGCATCTCCGGGTGGCCCAGGCGGTGTGGGTGGCGGCAGCTTGTACACATCACGATTCTTGCTGTTGGTGACTTCTGAACCCTGGGGACACAAGGGCCCCAAGCCAGGCCCAAGAGAGTCAGAGCAGACGGCTGGGAATCCACATTCATCCCTCCTACCTTTTCCAGCATCAAACGGCATGAGGGGCTCACTAAGTGACTCAGACAGGAGGCATGTCTGAAGGGCAGACACCTCAACCAGCGAGGGGGTCAGGTCTGCCTGTCCCAGGGACCCCTGTCTTCTCCTATCCAGCCCAGAGACCCCATCTACACCTGTCAGCCCAGGGAGTCATGTCTGCCTGCCTCAGGAAATCCTGCCGAGGGGGTCACATCTGTGCCACCTAGGAAGCTCTGTCCACTCTTGACAGTGTGAAGGGTCCTAATATGTCTGTCCTGGGGACCCTTGTCTACCCTCCTGGGCCACATGGCTTACAGACCCCCATCCATTCCTGCCCAGCTCATCTGCTCCCCAAGGCCTGGTGGCCACAGGTCGGTACTAAGGACCCCTGTCTAGTCCCTCGGCTCTTGGGAACCCCTGACCTTGGAGATTCATATCTAACTACCCAGGGCAACCCTGTTCTCTGTCCCCCAGGCCAGGTGGCTACGTATGTCTTCCCTAGGGACCTCCATCCACACCCCAGGCTAAGGGTGCACATCTGTGTGCCTGGCCTGATCCAGCATTCATGTGAGGGACCTGTGCCCATCTACCCCACTAGCTTATGGAGAGGAAGGACCCTTTGAACCTATCCACCCATTGCCCTGGCATCAGGCTGCTGGGCTGGGGATCACCACCCATCCCACCTCCTCATCCTCAGGCAGCGGGGGCAGGGGTGAGCTGGGAGAGCATTCACGCTCGCGCACAGAGGGGCTGTTTCGCATCCAGGCACGGCAGATCGGGTAGAGTGGCGTGTTCTCACTGAACTGGGCCAAGTCCACACTCCGGTCGAACAGCTTGATCACGTATGTATCTGGGAGGGTGGGGATGGGAGCTGTGTAAGCATCCTTGCATAGCCCCCCGGCTCCTTGCCTACCCTCTAGGGCCACTGCCGACTCACTGGATCGCTGCGGCCCTCCCTCAGCCAGCCCGTCATCCATTTCCCTCCTCTTCTTCCTCCGCTGGTGGGGGAAGCGGGCAGAAGGCCTGCGTAGGGAGGGGGAGTGTCAGGACTGGGGTAGGGGCTGGGACTCTGGTCAGCTGGCTGGGACCCTATCACCTTACCTTTTGCCAGTGGCTGCAATGGAGCAGTCCCTGTAGGGAAAGAAAGTTGACCCTCAGTCAAATGCTTGTGCAAAACCCTGCAGAGGGTACCCTGGGGACACTGGTATCAAACCTAAGATACTCACATGAACCCCACCTGCCCCTTGGGCCTTTTATCCCACCCATACCCATGGATGTCTCGGTTGCAACCAAGAGGGGACCTAAGCTTCTCCTGACGAAGGGTCTTCATACAGGTGAACTGGTCAGGACCAAGATGGAGGAAGCACTGGGCAGAGTGGTCAGGGCTTGGGTAAGGGAAAAAGTTACCAACCACAAACTCTCAGCTCCACATCCAGTCAGAAAAACTCACTTATTGTGGGTGTCTGAAGGGGTTTTCCCAGCTTCCTCATCCAGACGCTCCCTAGAGGCAGAAGCGATCTCTCAGCCTAGGGTTCCAGGGCCCCAGAGAAGGAAGGCACCAAGCGGCCTCTCCATTACGTACCTTCCTCCCCAAATCAGCCTCCGGAGTCCCACCCAATCCACCCAGGATCAGAGGGCCTGACCTGCCAGAGTGCCTGGGCCTTGACCCCACGCTGGCCCACCTGTCCATATGACTCTTCTCCAGCAGACACTGCAGGACGGCGTCCAGTTGGTTCCGGGCTTTGGCCATCTCCAGCTCTGAGGCAAGAGGGGACCCAGCAGGAGTCAGCTCCTAGGCCCCAGCTAGGGGGGCAGCTGACTGGGCCAGGGAAGGGCATGCGTGTCCTCTGCCCCAGCCAATCTCAGAGCCAGGCCCAGGCAGCCTGAAAGGGTGCAGCAGACAGAGATGGCTGGAGTGATGCCAAGAGCTCTGCGTTCCAGAGCTGTCACGCATGATCACTCTGTGGCAGGAGGTAAGGCCAATCACCTTATCCTAGGAGCCTTGGGTTTTAAAAAAAATTTGTTTTAGGGCCAGGCACAGTGGCTCATGCCTGTAATCCCAGCACTTTGGGAGGATGAGGTGGGTGAATCACCTTGAGGTCAGCAGTTCGAGACCAGCCTGACCAAAATGGAAAAACCCCATTTCTACTAAAAACAAAATTAGCCGAGCATGGTGGCATATGCCTGTAATCCCAGCTACTCAGGAGGCTGAGGCAGGAGAATTGCCTGAACCCAGGAGGCGGAGGTTGCAGTGAGCTGAGATTGCGCCATTGCACTCCAGCCTGGGTAACAAGAGCGAAACTCCGTCTCAAAAAAAATTTTTTTTTGTTTTAATGTAATATAAATTTATTACCAAAAAAAAAATTGCATAGAGATGGAATCTCAGGATGTTGACCAGGCTGGTCTTGAACTCCTGGACTCAAATGAGCTATCTTGGCTTCCCAAAGTGCTGGGATTACAGGTGCGGGCCATCGCACTTGGCTCAGTGGCAAGCTTTAAATAGGCTTATGTATCACACGTAATAACCCACTGAATTCTCACAATAACCCTTAGAGGTAGATGTGATTTTTTTTTTTCTTAAGGCAAGATCTCATGATGTTGTCCAGACTGGTTTGGAACTCCTGGGCTCAAGTGATCCTCCTGTCTTAGCCTCCCAAGTAGCTGGGACTATATGCATGTGCCACAGAGCCAGCTCAGATAGATATGATTTTTATTCCTATTTTATAGATGATAAAACTGAGGCGGCCGGGCATGGTGGCTCACGCCTGTAATCTCAGCACTTTGGGAGGCGGAGGCAGGCGGATCACCTGAGGTCAGGAGTTCAAGACCAGCCTGGTCTTGAACATGGTGAAACCCTGTCTTTAAAAAAAAAAAAAAAAAAAAAAACTGAGGCACAGAGATGTCAGGCCACTTGCTCAAAGGCACACAGCAAAGAAATTGCAGAGCTGATGCTTTGAACCCAGGCTGGCTGGTTTCAAAGCTGAAGTTACGAGGCAGAGGCTCAACCTGAGTACAAATCTGGTTGAGGTAGTGGTATAATTTTGTTTAATTAATTAATGTATTTATTTTTTATAAGACAGAGTCTTGCTCTGTCACCCAGGCTGGAGTGCAGTGGCACAATCTCGGCTCACTGCAACCTCTGCCTCCCGGATTCAAGTGATTCTCCTGTCTCAGCCTCCTGAGTAGCTGAGATTACAGGCTTGTGCCACTACACCTGGCTAATTTTTGTATTTTTAGTAGAGATGGGGTTTCACCATGTTGATCAGGCTGGTCTCCAACTCCTGACCTTGTGATCCACCTGCCTCTGCTTCCCAAAGTGCCAGGATTACGGCATGAACCACCGTGCCTGGCCAAACAGTGGTATAATTTTAAATCTGAATTAAATCTGAATGAGCTGATATTTAAAAATTGGGAGATTTCACCTAAAACATCCTGTTTGGGCTTTTCTTTCTCCCCTCAGGAAATGAGATCTAGGCCCACCTGCCTGCCCTGTCAGCATTTGGCTACCTCCCGTCATCACACAACTGGATGTTAGGATCTCCTACCTTTGAGGGGTATTTGCTCTGCCCTTCTGACTGGTGGGAGCCTGGCTTCAGTGCTCAGAACCTGGAGGGGACACCTGGGAAATTGCCTGGCCAGTCCTGGGACTTCTTGAGAAGCCCAGGAGACATGGGGATTCAGACATAACTCAGAGGAGAGACAGCATGAGGGTGGGGAAAGGGGCAGCTGAGATTGCAGCAAAGCCTTCGGTGGATGCAGAGGGTAGAGATCACGCCCACAACTCTCCCCAGGCCCAGCTTCTCTCCTGAACCCCCGACTTGGGCCTGAAGCCTCTGTCTCAAGGGTGGCCTCACTGTCCCCAAGTCCCTCCCTGTACCTCACCATGGATACCCCTCTCCCTCCCCTATCTCAGCCCACCAACCCCATGGCCTGTCCACTCAGCCTCCCGAGTGCCTCTCCCACCCACCTCCTCCCTACTCTACCCATCCTGGTCCTGTCCTTTGCTCCCCCTGGGCTCCCTGCCTCAGTTTCCCTTCTGATCCACCCTCCACAGGTGGCCAGGGCAATCTTCCTGAAAAATAACAAACCTGACCCTGATCTTCCCCTGCTTGGAAACTTCCATGACTCCACAGCACCCAGGGGTGGAGTCTGCACTTCTCAGACTGGTACTCACAGGTGTACACCTTCCCTCAACATCATTTGTAGTCAGACTCCCTTCACTTTTCTTTCACTTTTCTTTTATTCCTTTTTTTTTTTTTTTTTTTGAGACAGGGTCTCACTCTGTTACCCAGGCTGGAGTGCAATGGTGTGATCTCAGCTCACTGGGGGAGTGCAATGGTGTAATCTCAGTTCACTACAACCTGCGCTTCCGTGGCTCCAGCGATCCTCCTGCCTCAGCATCCTGAGTAGCTGAGACTACAGGCTCATGCCACCACACCTGGCAATTTTTTTTTTTTTTTGCTCTTTTTTAAAAATTCACGTTGAAATCCTTTTTTTGGCATTTTTTAAATAGAGACAGCATTTCACCATGTTGGCCAGGCTGGTCTCAAACTCCTAACCTCAAGTGATCTGCAGGCCTTGGGCTCCCAAAGTGATGGGAATACAGGCACCAGCCATGGCACCAGGCCTCCCACTTTGTTTTGATAACACTTTTGCTGTCTGACATCTTACATCATTTTACTATTATCTTTCTGTCTAAATTCTGCACCGCTCCCACTGCTCTCACCATGTCAGGCCTGGGATCCCGTCAGCTCTGGCCCAACCCAAAATGACCTCTTTCTGAGCTTCAGTTTCCCCATCGACCACAATTCCTACTTCCTAGGATTACTGGAATACAGTGACTGTGAGGATTAACAGTGCCTATACTTCAGGCGCACAGCAAGATGTGTGACTCTGACCACTGCTAGAAATGGGGAAACTGAGGGGGAGCCAAGAAAAGCGGACTTCTCGGCCGGGCGCGGGGGCTCACGCCCGTAATCCCAACACTTTGGGAGGCTGAGACGGGAGGATCGCTTGAGGCCAGTGTTCGAGACCAGCCTGGGCAACATGGCGATCCTCCATCTCTACTTAAATATTTTAAAATGTTAAATGAAAAAGAGGAAAGAAAAGGGCCCTTCTCAGAGTTACCGGCTCAGGATTCCCCATGTCTTACCACGCACCGCACTGCCTGAGCCACCATCATTCAATCTCAAGGCGACTTCAAGCACAGACCCAGCGGGGGTGAGGGTGGCAGCCAACGCTCCCTGCCTGATACAGGGATTGTCAGGTGGCTGCAGGGAGAAGTCGCGCAGTCCCATTTCCGCAATACTCCCTTGTACGGGACTCCCACACTGTCAACCCGATGCTCCCAACAGGCCCCCGACGTCGGGGTCCTCACCTGATTTCTCCACTTTCACCTTCACGGGGAACATGGTTTGGGTCCGGGATCTGGCTAGCTGCGTCAGACAAGCCCCAAAGGGCCTAGGATCGCAAATCAAGGCGGGAGGCGGGCGGAGACAGTTCAAAGATTAGCTTCATGGGCCATGGGTCCTCCGCCTTCGGCGGTGTACAGCTTGTACCGTGGCCTCCTCCCTTCTGTGGGCGGGCCCCTTAGGCAGTATCTCTTTTCTATTAGTTAATGCAGCCGTCAGTCTCGCATCCTGACCAATTAAGAGCTTCCTCCGTAGGCCACCAGCTTTAGATCCCACCTTCCTGGGACTTTGCTGCTGGAAACAAACCATCGACCGCCCAGCTTCCTGGGAGGTGTAGTTTCAGCTTCCTGGGAGGTGTAAGTTTCAGCTCCAGACTCACCCCGAGTAACAGCGCCTGCGCCGCGCGGGGTACTGTGGGAAAGAAAGGATTAAGGCATCGCGAGGCTTTCTGGGATTTGTAGTGTTGGAAGATTTGAGTAACACCAATTTAGTTCTTTACCGGATTTAACCAACCGTTGGCGTCTCTCCATTCCTGAGAGGAAGACTAATGTAAAATAACGTTGGGTTCCCTCTCACTGAGCACTCGCTAGGTGCCAGGTAACTGCTAATCTCTTTGCAGGTACAACTTCATTCATTTTGCAAATATTTGTGTGCCGGGCACTCTTCTAGGCATTGGAGACACCTCGAGGAACAGAACAGACAAAAATCCTTGCCCTAATGGAGCTTATCTTTTAAAAGATGGAAGAGAAACAGTAAACAAGTAAAATATTTTAAGTGAAATGTAATAGGAGAAAGAATATAGTTTGGGTGGGGCACGGTGGCTCACGCCTGTAAATCCCAGCACTTTGGGAGGCCGAGGCGGACAGATCACCTGCAACCAGGAGTTCGAGACCAGCCTGGCCAACATGGTGAAACCCCGTCTCTACAAAAAATGCAAAAATTAGCCGGGTGTAGTGGCACGCACCTGTAATACCAGCTACCCGGGAGGCTGAGGCAAAAGAATTGCTTGAACCCGGGAGGTTCAAGGTTGCCGTGAGCCAAGATCGCGCCTCTGCACTCCAGCCTAGGCGACAGAGCAAGACTCCGTCTTGAAAAACAAGCAACCCCCTCACCTCCCACCCCCACCCCCTCCATACACACAAAACAGCATAGCCTGAAAGGGACGTAACAATATCAAGGTGGTGATTGAATTTTAAATTAGATGGATGGCCAAGTAGCCAGGCATGGTGGCGCATGCCTGTAATCCCAGCTACTCGTAAGGCTGAGGCAGGAGGATCACTTGAACCCAGGAGGTGGAGGCTGCAGTCAGCCAAGATCTCACCACTGTACTCCAGCCTGGGCAACACAGTGAGACTCCATCTCAAACAAACAAACAAACAAACAAAAAAAGATGGATGGCCAAGGAAGGATTCCATGAGAAAGTTCTTGACTACTTTTATTTTTGCAGACAACACTTCCTGCAGAAAATGGGAAACTTCCATTTATCACACGTCTTGGCCCAGATAAATCCTAGGAGGTAGGATTCCTGATTTACACTTCTGATAAGAATGCTGAAGCCACAGTAGGAAAGTTATGCTTTTGAATTCACGACTACCAGTACAGGACACCAGCCCCTAGAAATGGAAACACTAAACTGGGCGTGGGAACTCAAGCCTGTAATCCCAGCATTTTGGGAGGTCGAAGCGGGTGGATCGCCTGGGGTCAGGAGTTTGAGACCAGCCTGACTAACATGGTGAAACCCCACCTCTACTAAAAATACAAAAAATTAGCTGGACATGGTGGTGCACACCTGTAATCCCAGCTACTTGCCCGGCTGAGGCAGGAGAATCGCTTGAACCTGGGAGCTGGAGATTGCAGTGAGCCAAAATTGCGCCATTGCACTCCAGCCTGGGTAACAGGCACCTAACTCCATCTCCCAAAAAAAACAAAACAAAACAAAACAAAAAACAAGAAATGGAAGCACTATTTCTTTCTTACTTCCTCATCTAATAGTTTCCTGAGCAGGAAAGTTCCTAGTTCAGAAGATTATGAACAGTATTCACTGGAAAAAAATGCACATCATGTCTGAATACTAAGCCTGGCACAAAGAAAGCACTCAACAGATGTTTTTAAATATTAATAAGCAATTTATGCCTCAACCTCTAAAATATCCCAGGAAGTCAGTATGGAAAGTTAGGGTCCTTTATTGGGGGATGTCAGCAGAGAACACCGGAGATGAAAACAAGTCTTAGGGGTTTGAGAAGGGGCTCCCAGGACAGGCTCCTCTGCTCTAATGAGCCTGTCCTGGGAGAATGAGCAGGGCCCCAGCCTGTGCAGAAGTTGTCAGGGTGTGCCTAGGGGTATGGTGAAGGAGAGGTAGTCCCCAAGGGCACCCCAGCGAGGCCGGTAGATCTGGAAGATGGTGATCCAGGAGGTGAGCACTATCACCCAGAAGAGGAAGCCCACAGCTGAGCGCCAGACATCTGTCATGGAAAACAGAAGTGGGAAGGGTTCGCCTCCCAGCTGCTCTCCAGACTTCCCTAGATCAGCCTTCCCTTCTCACCCAGAGCCCCAGAATTCTTTGGGAGGCCGAGGTGGGCCTCCCATCAAGATTGTCCACTTCCCCCTCTCCCCAGCCACTGGTCTCCCTCCTCTGTGTTCTAGACTCACAGCCTTTGATTTGGCTCTGTTCTGTGTAGGCCGGGACAAGGAAGGCCTCTCGGAAAAACCAGAAGATGTTGACCAACCAAAGAAAAGGCAGGAAAGCAAATCCACCTAGGGAAAAAGAAAAAAAAACCCAAAACCTCACAAGGCAATGAGGATCTTCTGCAGTTCCCACTTAGAAGATCTATTTGGAAGAAACTCTCACACTCAAGTTCAGTGGAGATTTCTGCTGTCAGGGATTCAGGAATCGGCCCCTCCTTGGGATCCAGGAATCTGATTCCTCAATCACCTCTTTCGCAGGACCCAAGAGTCCAGGCCCTCAATTCCCCTCCTCTCTTGGGATCCAGAAATTGAGGCCCAAGTTTCCTCGTTCCTCAGGACCCAGGCCCTCCCCACTTAAACCCAGGAGTAGGCGTTCGCAGGTGCTTCATCTCTTAGATTCATGAATCCAGGACCCAAGGCCCTTTTCCCCCCGGGTGCTCTAGTCCAGTCCCCTCTCTTCTCCTGGGACTCTAGCGATCTGCCCTTACCCAAGTAGTACTTCCGGCACAGGTTCAACTTCTCCTCATTGGACACTCGCTCCAGGTTCATAGTTGCGCTGGGGCCGGGTCGTCCCAAGGGTCTGCGGGGCAAGACCCAAGCCTTGACCCTAAGTAACAGATGCAAGGATCACGAACAACCACACCCTATTACGACAAGTCAGAGATAAATGTAAAGGTGGGTTTGCTGCAAGCAGGGCATCCCCGCCCCCACTAGCAAGCTGGTTGGGTTAAAGAGCTCTTTCTTTTTATTTACTAGGTTGGGCTAAACGACCCCCAACTCACCAAGAGAGCTGACTTCCTCCGGCTGGGATGCCTTAGCCACTTTCAGTTATGGATGTTTGCGCGAGATGCCCCAGGTTTCCCTGGAGATTGTAGTCTTCTTTGGGCGAGGCTATACCGCACGCAAGCGCCGTTGGGAGAACTCCTGCCGGGGAGTCTGCGGGGAGGGCGCGCACCTCCCAGGCGCAAGCGCCCTGGTGCGTTTCCGAGCGCACGGTAAGCTCCTGGAGGGGGCAACGAACTACACTTCCCAGCGCTCATAAGGAACGGAAGTGACGTGGAGCAGCCAGACCTAGAGGGCTCGGGTAAAAATGGCTGAATATTTAGCTTCGATATTCGGGACTGAGAAGGACAAGTGAGAACGGACGCCGGGAGTGGACTCTTGAGGGGTCGGGGCCGGAGCACTGGGGTCCTGGATGGAGGGACGGTGTTTCTGGGGTGTCCGGCCTCCCCGGCCCTCTGTTCACCTCTGTCTTTGCACCTCTTCCAGGGTTAACTGCTCTTTTTACTTTAAGATCGGGGCCTGCCGGCACGGGGACCGGTGCTCCCGGCTTCACAACCAGCCGACTTTCAGCCAGGTGAGACCCGGTGCTGAGCCCTGGCGGTTAACGCCTCCTGGCCCTTCCCCTTCTGGGGCAGTCGTCACCAGGTCCCGCCTATTCCGGGTTCCTGAGGCCCTCCTCACCGCCCGGCTTTATTCTGATTGGCCCTTTTTGCAGTCCTCTCCCCCCAGTCATTAAGGGAACTTGGCCGCGCCCCCTTACGTGCAGTCTACACACCTTGGCTGTGTCCTTGCCAGTCCCCTCCATCCTGTTTCTGTTTCCTAGGGTAAAGGATCACCGATGCACTCATGATGCTTAGGCTCCTTCAGGGGTGCAAGGTTCCACCCCCAACCTTCATGCCTCACTCTGTTTGCATGCAGCCCTGGCCTCTGATCTCAGGCCCCGCCCTTTTTAAATTCCGTGCAGACCATAGTGCTGCTCAACCTGTATCGGAATCCACAGAATACAGCCCAAACTGCAGACGGATCACACTGTGAGTAAGGGACCAGGCCTGGGGGCTAGGTGGACAGCCCCCAACAAGCTAGGCCCTGATTCCACCCTGCCCCCTCCCCCAGGTCATGTGAGCGACGTGGAGGTGGAGGAGCACTATGATAGCTTCTTCGAGGTGAGGGTTGACACAGGTAGGTTGGGTTTCTTGTGTGAGCTCAGCTGAGTTCCTCCCCCTCTTCCACAGGAGGTGTTCACGGAACTGCAGGGGAAGTATGGGGAGATCGAAAAGATGAAAGTGTGCGACAACCTTGGGCACCACCTCGTGGGCAACGTCTATGTCAAGGTGCTTGCTGTCCCCGGCTTAGGGCCCAGAGGTGGAGGGATTTCAATGCCTGATGGTCACCACTGAAGCCTCTCAGCTTGAAGTTCATCACTAAATCCAGTCCGGCCCCAGAGCTGCTAATGAGTCCCCTGAAGATCTCTGAGTTCTACTGCTGACCCTGACTGACGTTTCCTGCAGTTCCGGCGGGAGGAGGATGCAGAGCGGGCTGTGGCCGCTCAATAACCGGTGGTTCAATGGGCAAGCTGTGCACGCCGAGCTGTCTCCTGTCACCGACTTCTGGGAGTTATGCTGTCGCCAGTATGAAATGGGGTATGGTAGTTCAAGGGTGGGATGGGCACTTGGAATCCCAGACTTTGAATGAGTGGTAGGGGCTGTCATGACAATGGCCTCCTCCATCTCTCTGCTGTCTATGCAGGGAATGTACCTGAGGTGGCTTCTGCAACTTCTTCCATGGCCCATTTCCCGAAACCTCAGGCGGCAGCTCTATGGGCAGGGACCCAGGTGCAGGTACCTCGGAACAAGCCTGCTAAGTCTCCTCATGCCAAGTGGGTCCTATGTCCTCAGATGAGACTGACCCTAAGCCCCAGTAACAACGTCCCCAAGACTCTTTCTTTTTGAAATGGAGTTTTGCTCTTCTTCCCCAGGCTGGAGTGCAATGGCACGGCCTCAGCTCACGGCAACCTCCGCCTCCTGGTTTCAAGCAGTTCTCTGCCTCAGCCTCCTGAGTAGCTGAGATTACAGGCACCCACCACCACGCCCAGATAATTTTTGTATTTTTAGTGGAGACGGGTTTCACCATCTTGGCCAGGCTGGTCTTGAACTCCTGACCTTGTAATCCACCTGCCTTGGCCTCCCAAAGTGCTGGGATTACAGGTGGGAGCCACCGCACTCAGCCAACACTTTTTTTTTTTGAGATGGAGTTTTGCTCTTCTTCCCCAGGCTAGAGTACAATGGTGCCATCTCAGCTCACTGCAACCTCTGACTCCCAGCTTCAACCAATTCTCCTTAGCTGGGATTACAGGCACCTGCCACCACACCCGGTTATTTTTTGTATTTTCAATTGAGACGGGGTTTTAGCAGGGTGATCAGGCTGGTCGTGAGCTCCTGACCTCAGGTGATTCACCCATCTTGGCCTCCCAAAGTATGGGGATTATAGGCATAAGCCACCGCGCCTGGCCATTACCAAGACTCTTAGACCTTAAGTGTAGTTTTGAGCCCCATCTGGAGACCAGTACCTAAGTCCCAATCCCCAAACCAGCCTGAACCCCTAATCCAAGACCAGCCTGGATTGCCACCCCCGAATATTGGCCACCGAGTACCTATTCTGGGCCATGTCTTAGAACTCTAGTTATTTCAGCATCCTCCTGCCTCATCCCAGAGCAGACAGGTAGGCCTGCGGATCTCTGCACCACTCCTCAGGGTTCTAACCCAACTCTCAACACTCCTATTCCCAGGTCACCGCCAAGGTCCCATACTGGCCACCGTCCCCGAGAGAGAAACCGCCGGCATTCCCCAGATCACCGGCATGGCCGCTTCTGAGGACCTGGCCGCCTTACCCTTCGCCACCCACAGGAACAGATGTTCCTGGCAGGACCTCTCCTCAAAGCCCCCTTCACTTTCCTGCCCTGTCTTTCCGAGCCTCCCGGGCTCCATAATGTAATCTGCTCAACATGGAGACCTTCTTCTGCCGCCCCTCTGTTAATAAAATACCATATAGCGAATTTTGCTTTGTTGTAAAACCACAGCAAGTGAATAGACATTTCCTTTCACCCACACATGTGACGAAAACGGGAAACGACATTGGGGTTCCGGCCACAGCTTCAGCTGAAGAACTTGGAACGGCCAGCTTGGGACCCAGGACCCTAACAGTACTGGTAGGGTGGGGACACCTTTGTGCTGGAAACCTTAGCACCTCCATCTGAGACTTCTTCAAGGGGGAGAGATCTGGTTGTGATACGTGGGAGGAGTCCTAGCCCCGAGGAGATAGGATTCAAAGGTGAGGTGAGGTGCTGGGAGGTGGTCTCCAGCCAGTAAGGGCTGGTCTGATGACTACTGGCCAGAGAGGCTTACTTAGGGATTGAAATAGTGGGCCTTACGCAGATCAAATAGGGATGGCAGGCAGAGCCTGTGCAGAAAGGGATAGGGCGGGCTACCATAGGGCAACAGAGAAGGGATATGGCTGGAGAGGCGGGATAGGGACCATGTGGAAAGGGTGGGCTTTATGTAGATAAACTGGGCATGGGCTGGCTGCTCTGTTGCCTGCCGAATTGAGATGGGAGTTAGTAATGCCTGACAAATTGAGTTTACTATATGCCAGGTGCTATTCTAAGCACTTTAGTTTTTTTTTTTTTTTCTTCCTCCAGAACGTTTGTAAACTTGATAGTTGTGTGTGTGTTTTTTTAAGGAGTTTCACTCTTGTTAACCAGGCTGGAATGCAATGGCACAATCTAGGTCCACTGCAACCTCCACCTCCTAGGTTCAAGCAATTCTCCTTCCTCAGTCTCCTAAGTATCTGGGATTACAGGCACCTGCAACCACACCCAGCTAATGTATTTTTAGTAGAGATGGCGTTTCACCATGTTGGCTAGGCTTGTTTTGAACTACCGATCTTAGGGGATCCAACTGCTTCAGCCTCCCAAACTGTTGGGATTACAGGCATGAGCCACTGCGCCCAGCCATTTTTTTTTGGTTTTGGTTTTAGAGATGAGGTATTGCTGTGTTGCCTAGGCTGGTCTGGAATCGGTGGCTCAAGCAATCCTCCCACCTTGGCCACCCTAGTAACAGGGACTATCGGCATGAAGCACTGCACTTGGTAAAGTGCTTTTTATTTTTTGTAGAGACGAGGTTTCATTTGGTTGTCCAGGCTGATCTCAAACTCCTGGGCTCAAGTGATCCGCATGTCTTGGCTTCTCAAAGTGTTGGGATTACAGGTGTGAGCCACTGCACCCACCCTCTGTTTTACTTCTAATAACGGTTCTATTTCTCCACAATAACCCTATAAGACAGGTGCTATTATTGTCTCATTTAGGTATGGAAAAGGGACGGTGGGTAGGTGAGGACATGGCAGAGGTGGGATATGCATTCTTGCAATCTAGATCCCGTAGCCCGCTCTCTTAGCCCCCTTGTGGCCTTGGCTTTTCTGATAACCGGCTGAGTTGGGGAATAGATTACCGGCTTCCGAAGGAGCGTGGGAATTCTGTTCCTCCACATCACCGTGTCCTTTCTTCGGCTCGGTTTCCCCGGAAAAGTGTGGCAGAGGCGCTGTGTTTGGAAGTCCCGGTATCACGGCCCCCCAGATGGGGCCTGGACTACCCGTCTTGACGGCCTTGCTGCTTCTGGCCCTGGCGCCACCGCCGGAAGCCTCCCAGTACTGCGGCCGCCTTGAATACTGGAACCCAGACAACAAGTGCTGCAGCGTCTGCCTGCAGCGCTTCGGGCCGCCCCCCTGCCCAGGTGAGAATCCAACACCCAGCCTTGCTTGGGTGGAGCTCGCAGGTGATCCGGAGCGGGAAAGGGGCAAGATCTGTGGGCTACGGGCCAGAGAGGCCTGCTTAGGGATCGAAGCGTTGGACCTTATACAGATCAGATAGGGATGACGGGCAGAGCTTGTGCAGAAGGGGATAGTGCGGCCTACCGTAGGGCAACAGCGAAGGGATATGGCTGGAGAGACAGGCAGGATAGGGGCCGCGTATAAAGGGTGAGCTTTATGTAGATAAAATGGGCGTGGGCGGAACTTGGTGCAGAGCTGGAGGGGGATGAAGAGATCCCGGAGAAAAGTGACAGGAGCGGGGCGTACGCTGATAGGCTGGGAGCTCCGTAAGGGGGCGGAGCTCGGCGGGATTGGGCGAAGGGAGAGGGCGTTGCCTGCGCAGGGTGGGGTTAGGCGGCCACACTGAAGCACAGCTTTCCCGCTAGACTACGAGTTCGAGGAAAACTGCGGGCTCAATGACCATGGCGATATCGTAAAGCAAGCGTTCCGAAGGTGTCCTCCTGGGTGGTGCAACCCCGACGGCGCCGAGCTATGTAGCCCCTGCGGCGGCGGAGCCACGATCCCCACTCCTGCCGCGGGCAGGGGCAGAACCCCGTGGCGCTGCAGAGAGGTTGCAGATGGGACTCCGGACTGGGCAAGGGCGTGCCGGAGTTGGGGGGCCTGGATCTAGGGAGCGGGCATAGCCTCACGTAAGGGGTAAGGGGCGGGGCCGTGGTATAGGGAGGTGGCTGGCCTGCAGGGGTCGGGAGGTCCTAGGCTAAGGTAATTGGGCCTTGCAGGACCCAACTACCTTATCAGGTATCACATCAGATGGGCTGTGGCCCCATCAAAGGTTTGATGAGTATGGGCGGTTTGGAAGGGGGCTGGAGTGTGGCCTCCTGCTTTACTCCAACCCCTTATCCCTAGAGGCCGGTCCCTGCCAAGGGGCACTGCACCCGCACACCAGGAAACCCAGGTGCCACTACCTCCCAGGAGCGCACCTCACCAGCAAGTTCCATTGCTTCGAGGACCCCTGAACCTGTCCCTGGGCAGACGTTGCCGAGTTTCATCCCGCTCTTGGTTCTGGTCCTGCTCCTGACTTTGGTGGTGACAGCGATCCTCCTGTTTGCTCTGCTCTGGCACTTCTGCTGGCCCAAGGGGAAAGTGGACCCCTATCCCTATCCTGGCTTGGTCTGCGAAGTCCCCAATACCCACACCCCCTCGAATTTGTGCTCCCCAGGCGCCCTGGAGACAGGGGACACATGGAAGGAGGTTTCTCTACTTCCACTCCTGAGCAGGGGTTAGTCCAGGAAGAGCCCCGGGGAGGGCAACTGGATGTCCTTCCTCTCCTTTACCCTTCCCCTCTCTCTCCCAGAACTGCCCAGTCTGGCATCACAGCCCCTGTCTCGCCTCCTGGATGAGCTGGAGGTGCTGGAAGAGCTGATTGTACTGCTGGACCCTGAGCCTGGCCCAGGTGGGGGCATGGCCCATGGCACTACTCGACACCTGGCCGCAAGATATGGGCTGCCTGCTGCCTGGTCCACCTTTGCCTACTCGCTGAGGCCGAGTCGCTCGCCACTGCGGGCTCTGATTGAGATGGTGGTGGCAAGGGAGCCCTCTGCCTCTCTGGGCCAGCTTAGCACACACCTGGCCCACCTAGGCAGGGCAGATGCATTAGGGGTGCTATCCAAGCTTGGCTGATCTGGGGTTCACTGGGCTTAACACTCCATCTTGCTGACTACTAGTCCCAGCATACAATTAGCACTGAAGTACTTCCTGAAGTACAATCCTAACTGGGCAAAGACTCAACAGATACCCTCACTGCCCTTTGCCATAGAAGGAAGGGCCCATTCCAACATACACACAGGGCCACATGTGGGAGGGCTGACTCCAGGTGCTCCTGGGCCACCAGAATCCCCTCTGAGAAACAGCCCTGCTACAGGCACTTGCTGTGATCTGTGTTGTTCTGAAGCTGTAACAGACCCCATGACTGACTTCTAATTCTGAATGATGGCCTCTCACTACCTGTTGAGGCTGAAATTCCTTGGCTCCCAATGGGTAGTTGTGGAGAAGTGGGGTTCCTACCTGCCCCTACATCCTACAAATGGGAAGACCACCTCTCCAAACATTGACAGACTTTATTGTGGGGGGGTTCCCACCTGGGACCCCACCTCTTAAATAAAAAAGTGCATAGAAAAGAAGGGATTTAGAAACCTTTGTACAATATCTACATCCTGGGCCCCTCGGGCAGAAAGGGGGCGATTGCTGGGTGGGCTGGAGGGATGGAGGCGGGGCCCTTGCCGCCTGCATGCCCACATCCACCCTGAACATGAGGGTGAGGGTGAGATGCTCTAGGAGGGGCTAGGGAGCCCCCAGGCTAGGGGCAAGATGGCAGCGACGGCAGCAGGAGGTGTGAGTGGTCGTGGTGGGTGGCCACGGCCTCAGTTAAGGAACCGACGGCAGCGCTTGGCGCCACAGTTGCAGGGCAGTTTGTTGCTGGCATCCTCGATGGGGAACTTGTAGTCGTAGGTGAGCTCCTCACCACGCAGGATGCGGCGCAGGGCAAAGATGACAATGTGTTTCTGACCCTCCACGTGGATGACTCGAGAGAAGCAGTTGGGCTCACAGGAGTGGTTGATGAAGCGGGCAGCATTGCCATGCATTGTGGCGTCCACGACGTCAAAGTCATCCATGCGGAACATGTAGCACCCGATGCCCTGCAGGGATCAGGCGGGGGATTAGGTGCTCAGTCCCTGTGGGCCAGCCCACTTCACCCACTGCTTTCCCACTGTCACTGGGAGCCCACCTTCCCATCATAGAACTTCTCCCGCTTGTCGGTCAGCACTGAGCGGATGACGATGCCAGAGTACTCAATGACCATCTCGCCTGCGTCGATGTTGCGCTTACAGAACAGGCCTCGCCCGTGAATGGCTGATCTGCAAGGCAGGACAAACAGGGAACTCAGTGGGGAGGGAGACAGAAACCAGACAGCACCCCTAACCCAGTGCACCTGTCGGTCCACCCAGGGGCATCCTCCCCCCCAACCCCACTCACCTGTAGACACCCACAGCCTCTTTGGACGTCTTCTTAAGGTGACGAAAGCGCATGGCCATGGGCAGCTCCAGGCTGGTGGCACGTCTGGTGAGGGACAGCAGTGTCACCCAGGCTGGTGCTCAGAATGACCTTTCTCACCCCTGCTCACTCTCTAGGACCCTTCCAGACCACCGCCTGCCTTCCAGCTCACACTCCATACCTGGTTGACCTGAGCTGCACCTCATCCTCTTCCTCGTCACAGGTGGCCCCCTCAGGGAGCACCCGGTGCTGGGAGGCCAGGAAGTTGAACATGTCAAAGGTGCACTTCCTGCAGGTGGGAGTGGGGAGGGAGGAATACACTATTGAAGACACAGCTAAGGGGGAAATGGGTGGGGTTCATTCTTCTGATGTCAGCTCTAGAAATAACTTTTTTAAAATTTTATTTTAGAGATGGGGTTTCGCCCTATTGCCTATGCTGATGTCAAACTCCTGGGCTCATGTGATCCTCCGATTTTGGCCTCCCAAAGTGTTGGGATTACTGACATGAACCACTGAGCCTGGCCAACTCTAGAAATAATTTGAAGTGACCTAGTATCTCCTCCCGAGGCCTCAGTTTCCAACCTCTAAACAGTTAACTCCCACCAAGAGCTCTCATAGGGCACCCTGACCCAGGCATCACACCCCAGACCTCTCACCGGAGATAGACCTCTGCCCGAGCGGCCCCGTGGGGATTCAGGGGTGGCTCCTCCTGGCCCTCTCCCTGCTGGTGGTAACGGAACTTATAGTGCTGGCAGCGCTGGGCCCCAGGGAGCTGCTCGGCCAGGAAGATGACAGCATCATGGTGGATGCCCAGGAGCCTCGCCCCACTCATTCCTGAAGGGAGATGTTGAGGACACATCTGTCACGTGGAGGGCCCATCATGCCCTCAGGGGAGACATCCAGCCCCCAGCCCGCTTCGGGCACACCCCTTACCACTAAAGGAGAGATGTCTGAGCCGGGCATGCCCTCGGGCCTCTTGCACTTTCTCAATCAGAGTTCTCCATGCCCCTGGGGAGAGAGCAGGCCAGGGCTGAGTCAGGATGGTGTTTTATGGACACTCTCCCTCCTGCCACTGCACCCCCTACTCACCCTCCAAGCTCTCTGCTTCCACACTGAATCCATCCTCACTGCTGATCTCGAAGCGCAGATGTGGGCCAGTCCGTTTTGGGGCCTGGTTCTCTTTATCCTCTGGGGATGGAGGCTCTTCCTCAGAGCTCGAAGCCTCACCTGGTCCCAAGAAGCAGGTCGGAGTGAGGATCACCCTTTCCGGACTCAAAAGCCCCCGAGCCCCACTGTGCTCCCAGCAGACACCACTCTCTCCACTCCTAGGCGCAGACACAGATACTGGGGTCTAATGGCCCTCCTACTGCTCCAGTTACCATCTCGTGAGCCCTGCAGAATGGACATTTCTTCCCCTCAAGAGGCTATAGTACCTCTTCTGCAGGACTTCTTGGGTACAAGAGCATTCCATGGAGGCTTAGGGCCTTTTGGCAGGACACACTTATGGCTCACTCAAACCCAGTGTATCATAAATCCCATCTACCTATCATTATTCTGTTTCTCACACAAAATTTAAAATACTGGAGAACTGCCAGGTGCAGTGGCTCATGCCTGTAATCCCAGCACCTTGGGAGGCCGAGGCAGGTAGATCACAAGATCAGGAATTCGAGACTAGCCTGGCCAATATGGGGAAACCCCGTCTCTACTAAAAATATAAGAAAAATTAGCTGGGCGTGGTGATGCACGCCTGTAATGTCAGCTACTCAGGAGGTTGAGGCAGGACAATCACTTGAACCTGGGAGACAGAGGTTGCAGTGAGCCGAGGTTGCGCCACTGCATTCCAGCCTGGGCGACAGAGCGAGACTCCGTCTCAAAAAAAAAAAAAAAAAAAAAAAGAATTATATTTTGCACGTTTTTTTTTGGATGTGGCAAATTTCTGTAACTACTACAAATATATTAAAATTATTATTATCAGTCTCTTTCTGTCGCCCAGGCTGAAATGTGATGGCGCAATCTCGGCTCACTGCAACCTCTGCCTCTCAGGTTCAAGTGATTCTCCTGCCTCAGTCTCCAGAGTAGCTGGGATTACATGCGCCCACTACTATGTCCAGTTAATTTTTGTATTTTTAGTACAGACGGGGTTTCACCATGTTGACCAGGCTGGTCTCAAACTCCTGACCTCAGGTGATCCGCCCACCTTGGCCTCCCAAAGAGCTGGGATTACAGGCGTGATCCACTGTCCCCAGCTACAAATATATTATTATATAGGCTCACGTGCACAGAGCCAAGTACTGTATGTTATGAGCTATTTAGGGGATTTCTCAAGGGTTAACAGATTAAACAGAGCAGACGGGACGTGCTGATGCAGTAGATGTGGATGCGAGGAAGAGGGTTGGGGGTCAGGACAACTCTGAGCCTGAACACCTGAAAGGATAAACTGCCACAGACTGAGACAGCGACGTCTGTCTCAGCAAAAGAAGAACAGGTTTGGCGTGTGGGTGGAGGGCTTAGTTTGGGACATGCTGACTTTGAGAGGCCTCTTAAAAACCACCCTCTGCAACCTGCTAGTGGAGATGATGGGCAGGCAGCAGGACGGGCTGGAGGAGGCCACAGTTCAGGGACAGGGTCTAGGCTACAGAAAGCAATGTGGAGATAATCAGAACACAGATGGAAGGACAGCCACCAAGCTGGAAGGAAGCCCCTGGGAGTGTGTGTACAGAGAAGTCAAGGCCAGGGCCCTGGGACACATCTAGACTGGCAGCTGTGGGCAAGAGGGCAGGACCAGGGGTGAGAACAGGAGCAGCTCTGGAAGCTATGGAAAACAGTACTTCAAGGTGGGAGGGACCTGCTGCACCAAATGCTGCTGCTGCTCAAGCAGGTGTGGGCTGGGGACTGACCGCTGCGGGGTAGGAGCACAAAATCTTGAGTGGAACAGGTTTAGGAGAGACAAGACCCGCATGGCCACATTCTCCCCACGTCACCTCTCTGGGCCACCCTACCCCACCTCCCCCGCCCAAGGGAGACTCTAAAGCACACTCCTGCCATGTGACTCCCGCTCTCTCCAGGCCTCAGTGCCCCAGAGTCCACCTCTGACAACTTCTTCCCTGTGTCCCCGCCCCTCACCTCCAGTGTTTCCCGAATACGGCAGGACTGACCACAGGGCCCTGGCAGGCGCTCTCAATGTTCGCTTTAGCAGTGCCTGCTCTAACATGCCCTGGCTAACTAACGTCTGTGTCTCCCACCAAAATGTGGTCTAGTCCTTGAGGACAGGGACCTCCCAAGGCCACTGCCATATTCTTATGCCATCTCTGAGACATAAGCAGCCTCTGAGTTAAGCAGTCTCAATCCACGTCCACTTCCCTGCTGAGCAACTGAGCTCTGTGTCATGAGAAAATCCAAACATCTGGACAGGATTGGGCCACCAAAAAATCCCAGCTTCAGGCTGCTCAAGCACCAGTTTACATGGCTGCAACCATTCCCCCCACGACCGCCCTCAGGGACCAACAGAGAACTCCACTGCCAGCTTCAAGGAGTCCATCAGCCAATCCTCCTCCCAGCTCCTCCCACCCTGTACATTACAGTTTCTGCATAAACACCTGCCTCCCCACCTCTTCTTCACCTCAGAAGTAACCAGTTCAAAACCAGCCACCAAGGCCGGGCGCAGTGGCTCAAGCCTGTAATCCCAGCACTTTGGGAGGCCGAGGCGGGTGGATCACGAGGTCAAGAGATTGAGACCATCCTGGTCAACATGGTGAAACCCCGTCTCTACTAAAACTACAAAAAATTAGCTGGGCATGGTGGCGTGTGCCTGTAGTCCCAGCTACTCAGGAGGCTGAGGCAGGAGAATTGCCTGAACCCAGGAGGCGGAGG